TTGCCATACTGTATTTGCTTAAAATCACTGAAGAGTAATTATAATTTTATCTTCTTTAGCTATTCCAAGTGTCCAATATTAGAAACTACCGGTAATAAGTAGATCAATCCATTCATTTAATTTCTGTTATGTAATGTATATTAAAATATTTATAAGGGGTTGGATATTCTAACTTGATCAACATGCCTATTGGTTGAACTCTCTCCTGCTTGTAAAGATGTTAGCCCATAAAATAGTGTCTTTAGTAAGCTTTCAAGACTCTCTTATCATACCCTAAATAATAAGGCAGTGTTCCTGTAATTCTTGTGGTATCTGTTTCCTGATCTTGCCATCTTCAGACATCAACTTTGAATGCCTCCAGAGCTTCTCTCTGCCCCTTCTTATACTGAAGAGAATCAAGGCAGAGTAATTTGGACTTACTTTCTCACATTTTCCATTTTCTCAGGACTCTTATTGTTTCCCTCTCTTAACAGATCATACATTCTCTCATCAAGAGTCTATCCATGACCCTTTATACTTATGACAATTCTTTGGTCATTCAGAATGGAAAACTAGACACATAGAGCCTGAAGAGCTGCGGTGGCACAGTGGTTAGAGTGCAATACTGCAGGCTACTTCTGCTGATCACTGGCTACCAGCAGTTTGGCAGATCGAGTCTCACCAGGTTCAAGGTTGACTCAACCTTCCATTCTTCCAAAGTGGGTAAAGTGAGGACCCAGATTGTTGGGGGCAATAGGCTGACTCTGTAAACCACTTAGAGAGGGCTGTAAAGCACTGTGAAGCAGTATATAAGTCTAAGTGCTATACATGTAGGAACATCTCTCGGGGTAGTGTTGAGTTCTTTGCCAAGTGAAACAAGAGGGGAATTGCAAAAATAATGGGCTACTTCTAGAACCATATTAAAACCCCTTGACAGAATGATTAAGAGCTGGTTGGCTCTAATTACACAGGCGAGGCTGCTAAATAGGAGTGATTAGTTCTGAGGACGTGACTCCATTTGTCTAGCCAGGAGAAGTTGCCCCGCTGTAGATATGGATTTTTGCTAGTGAAAGTCGCATGGAGGCGGCCTCCTCTTCCTCTGTCTCAGCACAGACTCGTTTTCATCTATCCCGGGGTCATGCTCTGGCAAACACAATGACTTTCATCTGAGATACATCCAATTTGATCACAGCTGGGGAAATATTAGCTTGTTCCTATTTATTGAGTAGCTGTCTGGATTTATGCAGACATCTGGGTTGAATTAAGCAAGCAACTGGAGTGTAAACTCTTCTCTGCCTCCCTCCTGTGCAAGCTTTTCATGTCTGGCCTGTTAGTTTGATTCCCATCTCGCTGCCCAGATTTGGGCCATCCTGCCATTTCCTTTCCCACCGACTCAGTCAAGCTATTTTCATAACTCAGGAGAAACAGAATCACTTGAAACATTTGAAGCTCACATTTGCATGGCTCACAGACATTTTACTCTTTGGCACTGAGACATTAGAAAATTCAGGTAATTAAATAAAAAAGCTAATGATAAAAATCCAGTGAGTTCTGAGCACTGCAAGAAGAAACAGTGAGCAGATTACTTGATATATTTAAGGGCTTCAACATGCCAACCCACCCTAACATTATTTTTGATTTAAAAAAAACCAATTTCCCCACTGCAAATGTCTAAATTACCCAAGCGTTATACAGGAGGGTATCCTTTTAAGAATGCCTCTTCAGATAAAGCTTAATTTATTGATTAAATTGCATTTTATTGGTTGTCACTGGAGGAAAAGTCATCTATAATATTTTACTACCGGTATTAATTGAACATATGCATATAGAATACACATGATAAAAACAAGGATAGATTTATACGATGATTTACTATGAAGATGAACAAAATCCAAACAGCAATCTATATGCATATGAAAGAATGTATGACAAATTACAACTAGTAAAACCGACACACAGACACAGACACACACAGAGACAGAGACAGACAGACAGACAGACAGACAGACAGACACACACACACACACACACACACACACACACACACACATC